GGCAGGGGAGCCCCCAGGGCTGGCTCGAGACATTGCTGGGCCACCCTTACCCTGCACTGCCAGGTTCCTGCTGCTGCTTTGCCCTGCTCCTTGTGGTCTCTGACCGCAGCTGAAGCACATCCTCCGGTCACCTCTCAGCCTGATCCCAATGGCACCACAGGGGCTTGCGTTAGCTGGCGCTGGCACTAGCCGGGGGTGTCAGCAGGTCTTTGGGGTCTGCCTCATGACCACCAGGCCCAGGGTGCACCTATAACATGGTGTCCTGGGTGTCCCAGCTCGCACCTGACATGCCTGGGTGGCTTGGGCTGCATGGGAATCCCAGAGGACGCTTTCTGCCTTGCTTTAGGCACCGTGCATCAGGGCAGCCCCACAGTTTCCATGGCATGAATCCCCAAGCCAGTGGGGCACATGGCAGGCGTTTGCAGCCTCCTCGGCTATAGGCTGCTGCGTGCACTTCTGGGGCCCCAAGGAGTGGGGCAGGCACAGCGTGTGTTGGGAAGGGGCGCATGCATGTCTCCTCACGCCTTCGTATGCTGCCGGCATTGCTCTGGCTGCGGCACTGCGGGCCTGGCTCCCTGGAGCCCAGCACGCTGCGCGGTGGCCCCACCCCAGGCTGGGCGCTGCAAGGCTCAGGAATGCAGCGCTGGAATGCATCCGAGTGGGATGGTGGGAGGGGTGCGTGCTCGGCTCCAGCCTGGACAGCTGCAGGGCCTGTTCTGAACCCTGGGGTCCTGGAGGGGCCAGAGCGGGAAGGCCTGTGCCCCTGATAGTGCCCGAGCCTGGTGCGATCTTGTCCCTTGCACTGCCCTTGTCACTCGTAGACTCTATGAGCAGGGTCTGGGCCTTGATCCCCTCCCCTTCCCATGGCCCCCAGGCTCAGGCCTGCTCCTGACCTTGCCACCCAGCCTGCATGTCTCCCAGCCTGGACTCGGATTCAGATCATACTCACCCCACCGCTACTGGCTTGGGCTCTGCAGTCTTTTTGATTCATAGGTGCTCGGGTCGGAAGGGACCTCAACAGGTCATTGAGTCCGACCCACTGCATAGGCAGGAAAGTGCTGGGGCCACATGACTCCAGCCAGATCCCTATCCAGCCTTCTCTTAAAGACCCCCAGGAGGGGAGAGCACCACCTCCCTTGGAAGCCTGCCTTACGGTGAAGAAGTTTTTCCTGATATCTAGCTTAAATCTGCTCTCTGTCAGTTTGTGGCCATTGTTCCTTGTTACCCCAAGAGGCACCCTGGTGAACAGAGCATCTCCAATCCCTTGCTGCGTCCCCCTAATGAATTTGTAGGTGGCCACAAGATCAACTCTCCGCCTTCTCTTATGGAGGCTGAAGAGGTCCAGGTCCCTCAGTCTCTTCTCACAGGGCTTGTTCTGTAAGCCCCTGACCATACGAGTGGCCTCCTCTGGACCCTCTCAAGTCTATCAACGTAATTCTTGAAGTACAGCACCCAAAACTGGGAGCCTCCAGGCCTCAAGCTTTGCTGGGGGCTCAGTTTCTTGGTCCAGACTCATCCCTCAAGGGGTCAAGACCATGGTCAGGCATTACTGAACCCCAGCCCAGCTTGGAGAGCCAGGGAGGGTCCCCATGCCCACCTTTTGGGGAAGGCGAGGCACAGGAGGCTGGTTGTAGGAGGCTGGGGCCAGGCTGGAGACCGTGGGGATTTGGGTGCCCAGCGAGTTCTCTTGCGCTCTGGTCGGTTGCGGTTCTGCTCAGATACAGCTGCATCCATTGGGAGCAGGGAATGGGTGAAAGGCCATGGCCCCCCCCCACTCCCCCCCAGCCACCTTGTGCAGCTTGTCCAGGCCCCGGCACCTCTGCCCTGTGTGTGCACAGTCCCACAGCTCTGCTCCCTGTCCTGGGCCAGCCATTCCTTGCCACTGTCAGCCTGTCACCCCATGGCCCTCTGCCCCCTCCGTGGCTTTGTGGCTGACAGCCCCGGCCTGAAGCCATGGCTCTGTAATTAGCACTGACAATCCAGCTGCACCTGGCAGCCTCGATCAGGATCAGGCCCGTTGCAACTGGTACTGCACCGGAGGGCTTGGCCCCGCTTGGGGAGCTCTCAGCAGAGATGACCACAAGTGATGCGGGTAAGGGATGGGGTCTGGCCAGTGTGTGACGGGTCTCTCAGGGTGGGGGGCCAGGGTAGGGCACTGACCTGGAGATGCAGGTGCTGCTCTGCCTGGCCTGGGGCAGGCCCCTCCCCTCTGCACCTCGCTGCAGGGATGGGGACTCCCCCCACACACCGTCAGCTGAGACCAAACCATGTAAAGGCATCCCAGGGCCAGGGCAGGGGGACAGTGTCCCATCCTGGAGGGGGTTTGTTTGCAAGAGACCCCCACTCCAGCCGCTTAAGCGGCAGTGAGCCGTGTCCCGCTGCCTGCAAGCCTCCAGGCATTGCCCAGCCAGTGCAGAGCCATGCCAGCCACCAGGAGCCTGCTGCCCGCAGTGGAGTGGTCACAGCTCCCTCCCTGCCGGGTGCATGTCCGGATCAGTGGAGCAGCCCCAGATGGGAGGCCTGAACGGCTGGTCTGCAGCAGGAAGCAGCCTGCACACCCTGCGGTGCTGCCTGTGCTCCAACCCAGGGCAGTGTCTGTGTCAGGAGCGGGTTCCCGGCTGCCAGAGGCTCATCAGCCATGGCCCCAAGCACAGGGGAAGCCAGGAACCAGCTTGGTGCCCTAGCAGATGGGTGTTGTGCTGAGGCGTTCTGGGATAGTGGAGGGCCGGGCATGATGCCCCAGGACACAGTCTGCCCGGGGGGGCTGTGGGGACCGCGTGTTGACTGGCACCACCAGCACGGGTGCAGCCCATGCGGGGTGTCCAAGCGCAGACCCCAGCCCCATTCTCATGAGCTATATGCAGTGTTGTCATGTAGACACGTGCACCTGTGCATGTGTGCTCCCCGGCTGCCCCTAGCCACAGTACCAGTGCTGCCACCTTCACCAGGCCTGGTGGGTCCCGGGGCAGGGCTGTCTGGGGCCCTGTGCTCCCTGCACACTGCTGGGCAGCCATATCAAATCCTAAGGGGCATGCCACACCACGCCCGCCACAGATGGGGTTCTGAGCCCTCCAGCTCTGTGTGCAACACCCTCAGCCTGCAGTAGCGCCAGCAGCTTGGGTTGGGGCGGCTGCCCATGGGGGCAGGTGTTTGCTGCCTGCCCAGGGGCTGCAGCTCGCTGCTTTGAGCAGGGCAGCACCTCCCGTGCTCCTGTTGCAGCGTCTGGGGCAGGAGGCGCGTGCCACCACCCCTCCCTGCTGCGCAGCCAGAGCAGGAGTGTGGCCCTGGGCGACAGGAAATGCGGAGGGCGGGGCAGGGCGGGGGTTGCGTAGAGCTGGGCACGGCTGCGTGTGCTGCTCAGCGTCTGGCGTGCCGCCGAGGGCCTGGGACATCCTCCGTGCTGCCTTGGTGAGCTCCGTGCTGGCAGGGAGGGGGTGTGGGCCTGGGGCTGGCAGGGCACTGCAGCCCAGGGTGGGGAGTCGGCACTGCTGGCACCAGCTGTCTAGGGCTGTTGTCCTGGCCCCTGCTAGCCAGGGGGTTGCTTGTCAGGGTCCCAGGATGGCGTCTCTGGCTGCAGAGGAGGGGTTGTTTGTCCCCCTGCCCTGGACAGCTGTGTGACCCCTGAGTGTCCGGAAAGCTGGCTCAATGCAAGTTGTGCTGCTCCTCTGAACTGCTTCCTGTGGCCATCCACACCCCTGTGCTGCCTGGGCCAGCTCCCGGCCTGGCGGGAGGGTCCTGCACCACCCCAGTGCAGCTGGGTCCTGGCCTCCCACCCACTGTCTAGGTTTGCAGCCCTCTACTGCTGTCCCACCCCATGCAGCTGTGCCTGTCCTCGTTCTGGTGCCCTGGGGGTACTTGGAGTTGTGGTCACCCCTTGTTCCCCCCTTCCCGGGCCAGGAGCATATGGCTGCTCCCTCCATTGCAGTCCCTTCTCCGTGATCCCTCATGCCTAGGAAACGTGGATGTGCCAGCACCCAGGGGGGCTCCTGCATGGTGATGGCCACGGCCCAGTCCTGTCCCTTGCTCATAGGACTGAGCAGCTGGGTGCCAGTCCAGGACCCTGATGGGGTGAGGGGCCCTGCTGGCACTGCCATGAACTCGGTTTTCCTCCCGTGGTTTCTGTGTCATGGTCTCTGGTATTTATAGCTTGTTCCATGTCACCCTCCACTCTTATCGGCCGGGCTCGCACTTCCTCCAGCCGGCACACTCGTGGCTGGGTGACAGCGGCCATCACTGCTCCTGCGCTGCTGGAAAGTGGCCTCGGAGTGAGAGGAAGTGGTTGGTCCTGCCCTAGATAAGCAGCTCGAGAGCCTCTGGGCAGGGTGACCCTGTAGCTTCTGAGTGCTCCTGCCCTCCCCTGTCCCCCAGGCTGGGCCAGGCCTGGGGGGTCTGCATGCCCCCTCCATGCCCCTCAGGTGGCAGGAGGTAAGGAGTGTCCTGAGAGCCAGTGCAGGCACCTCATCCCCCTGCCAGGCGCAGGGCCCTGGGACCTGGTCTGCCTCCCGGCCCTTGACTTCCTTCTTCCGCTGGGCATCTCATGGGCTGGTGGGTCTGAGCGTGGGGCTGGGGCCAGGGCCAGGACCTCATGGCTCTGCCCTGAACTCAGTGGCTTTTGGGAAGCTCTTCCCCTGCTTCAGTCTCCCCGGCGAGCTTTGTCAAAGCTCTGGTATACAGCCCCTTCCCATGCAAGCCTCTCAGAGCAGACAGGGCTGGAACCCTTTGCTGAGGCAGATCTCCCAACAGCAGCAGCCCCTTGTCAGGGTCTCCGATCCTGGGCAGGGCCATGACATGGTGTTAGGTCAGTTGTTGCCCTGCTGCCAGGCAGAGAAGGGTCCCAACACCGGCCAGGGTGGGGTGAAGGTGGTGACCGCTGCAAGGGTCTGCTCAGCAAGGCCGGTTGCTCCTGTGCTGTCCCTGGGGGGCAGGGAGGGGCCGGTGCAGGGGCTGCACCTAGGGCAGCTGTATACTGGAGCTGACCTGGCTGCCACTCTCCATTGCAGGTGAAGGAGGAGCAGGGGCCTTCCAGCCGCCACCATGGTTGCCCTGTCACTGAAGATCAGCATCGGCAATGTGGTCAAGACCATGCAATTTGAGCCCTCCACCATGGTGTATGATGCCTGCCGAATGATCCGCGAGCGTGTGCCGGAGGCACAGATGGGACAGCGTAAGTGCAAGGGCCCTGGAGCAGAGAGGGCAAAGGCCTGTCCAGCTCCACACCAGGCTAGGATGCTGCCTCCACGCCAGGCTGTGCAGCTCAGCAACAGGGCTCCCTCCCAGCCTGGGGAGGGGTCTCACCTCGCCAGTGAGACATTCCCTTGCTCCCGTTCTTCCTCCTCATGTCCCTGAGCTGCTGCTGAAAGGCCCTCATCTTCCTGGGGCCGGGGCGGGGCCGGCGCCACCCAGGTGCTGTGATTGTAGCGTGGGGTCTGGAGCCTGAGATGCCATGCCCCTGCTCTGCTCTGCCCGTCCTGCCCAGCTCTCCTGGACGGTATCTGACACTGTCCAGGAACGCTGGGCAGGACAGGGTGCGAGGTCCCCAAATTCGCACACTGTGTGGGGCAGACCAGGACTGCAGAAGCATCGTGGAGGTGGAGACCTGCTGCAGAGCAGCCAGTAGCATGAGGTGAGGGTGCATCCCTGCTGCGCGGCTCCAGTGGGAGGTGGCTGTTCTGTCCTGACCCAGAAATGTACTTATGGTTTCCAGCCAGACAGGTTGGGCAGCACCTCAGGGGGTCATAAGGTACCCTGATGTCAGGCCACACGTGTACACTGGGGACACAGTGCTGCCCAGGGTTCTGAGTCCAGCAGATGGAGGGAGAAGCTGAAGCTAGGCAGATTCAGGCTAAGATAGGAAGCAGCTGTGAAGAAAGGCCCTGACTTCAGGGGCAGGGCTGGGTCCAAGTCAAAGAGACACAGGGCTGGCAGGGACCTCAGAGGTGACGTCTACCCAAGCCCCACCTAAGGCAGGATCAGCTTCATCCAAATCAGCTCAGGCAAACCCTGTGTCCGAGCTTGGAGCAGCACAACACCGTCACCCTGACACAGCCTGGCATCGTCCCTGCCCCTGGACAGCATGGGGGCTGCAGGGCCAGCATGCTGCTGCTGCCAAGGGGGTTAATGCACACCCGAGAGGGACCAGGCCGAGGCCCTGCCTCTGTCACAAGAGACCTGTTCTGGCCTGACCCCAGGCACTGGGGCAGGGAACACAGGGGGCAGGCCAGAGTCTTTCCGTGGTGCAGCCCTCGCAGGCCATGACTCCAGCCTCTCTTCAAAGAGAGGCTTGTGGGCTGTTCAGACTGCTGGCCGCTCCATGGTGTGGGGAGCAGTGCCCAGCACCATGTCTGGATCAGGCCAGCTCCACTCACCTCTGGAGCATGGAGCTCTGGCTTGGGGCATAGCTGGGAGCCCCAGGGCACAGGAGGGGTCAGCTGCCCTGTCCTGCACCTCCAGCTGGCCCAGCCTGCCCAGCTTCAGGGAGCTCTTCCACCTGGCATCTGCTCTGCTCTCACATGCTTGGGCTGTGGGCAGCTAGCTATGCTTACCTGCGCTTCCCCTGACACCTCCCTGCCCCATGTGCTCCTGGCCACTGGCCATGGGAACTGCCTGGCTTCTCCCTCCCGCCTGCTGCTCCCGGACACAGACGGGGCTGCAACGCTAGCTCTTTCTCTGCTCCTGCAGCCATGCTGGGCACTTGCTCCCTTGTCAAGGTCAATCTCAGACTGCTGCTCCCTGGCTCCATCTCTCTGCTTCCACAGCCTTAGCCACACCCCCCCCCC